GGCTGTAAGCTAATAAAACCGATAATCGATAGGGAAGAAAGGTTCTCGAGTGGCAGTTACTGTCCATCGAAGAATAGGACGACCCTCGACTAGATGGAGTGACGACCTGTGCAAATGTGCGGGAAGGTGATGGATGCAGGTGGCACAGGGTCGTGCTACGTGGCAGTCATTAGAGGCCTATGTTCAGCAGGGGACTCTCACCGCGTCCTCAGAGAAGACTGGCGTGAAGAAATATTCAATCGGTTCGTCTTTTAGGTGAAGTAACCTTGGCCGGTCCTGTTGAAAGTTGCCAACGCTAAAGCAAACTTTGGGACGGCGTGGTGATCCATAGGATGATCATATATGGAACTAGCTACTGCCCGCGACTACGTCTGCGTAGAATAGGCTGAATGCGTAACATTCAGACAGAAAGACAGATATACATAAAATATATATAAATTATAGCCTATGTGTTATTCTGATGTATATGCTATATTATTGTAAAGTTTCATTAAAATCCATTCAGTAGTATTTGCGTGAAAGAGTAACAAACATCCATCCATACATACAAACTTTCGCCTTTATAATATTAGCAAGGATGGGCTACGGATGATGAAGTGCGTACGTATGATTGTTCCTGACCTGGGTTTTAATTGTGTTCGTATTAAAACCCCACAACACAAGATCACAGGGTGGGTAATAATTTTAAAATATCATAATAAAAGTCACAAAGCATTAGTTGAATCGCCTATTAATTTGCGACCTTCATCAAATTACTTAAGGAGATATGGATATGAAAGTATTTGTGGAAAAATACGTATGTTTTTATTTATGTAAATATATATAATAAAAAATGCGTATGTAAATCCACTTACATGTTATCCTCAGTTTTTTAATTATAACGAATTTATAGATATATTATCTAGACTTGTGACTGTGATTGTGCCTTTACCAGAAAGGCTTTGCCTATAATTAGGACGTATACATTCAAATAGACTGATTTATTTATATATTTGACATGAGACAAATTCCAAAAACGTCAAAACTCATGGCGAATGTAGTTTAATCAATTAATTTCAGTTGTAAAGTGACTACGCGATTGCGTGACCGCATGCCAGTAATGGTTTGAATAAACCTAAACGTCGTGCATTACGCTGCTTTTTTTTAAAAAAAAAAGACAAAATACACGGGAAACATGAACGCCGTATTACACACCAACATTCTTATGCGTGCATTTCTTTTTATTTGTGCTTCTGCGAAACGGTCACTATTTTACGACAATTCTTTGTTATAATGTAGAAAGGTTTTCATGGTATTTCGTAGTAATAAAAAAGTAGGGTTCGGTAAAGTGTTCTTGTGCTTGTACCACTGAAATGAAACAGCAATTTTTACGAGGTAAAAAGTGGTCGAAACAAAGTATGTAATTACTTTATTGGTTGAACTGATAGCTCGATGGTTTAGGCCACTTGCAAACTCAAACATCGTGTTGTGGGTTCAATCCCCACACGACAAACATCGACATTTATAGTATGAAGGCGATGCCAAAATAGAAATGCTAACTATTGCGATTAAAATTATTGTATTAACAACACTTAGATTAAACGACATTGTTGTGGGCAGACTTTACAGTGGTGGTAGGGCCACGCACCAACTTGCTGGTGCACGAACGGATAGACGGCGTGAAATGGAAGTGTTATACTTCTGCGTTTTGTCTGGTGAGTGAGGTAGCCACGGCGCACTTTATTATACGGTGGCAACGCATCTGCAACCATACAGGTGTTGCAAATGTCAATGGGCTTCATCGCTTAACATCAGATGAACCGCCAGCCCGTTTGCCATATCATATTAAAAAAATACAGAGTCGTCTCTCAGAGAAGGTTCGAGTTACTGGTAAAATAAACAATTTAAGATAAGACATGCTTAGAAATGTTAATGCATGCGCCTGAAGTAGATCATTTCAGGCGCGCGTATTTCACAAAATCCTCGTAATGCATTTCTTCATTTCAAGTTTTAAGCTTCGAAACTTCAATTCAGATGGCTTAAGAGGCGAAAGCTAAATGTTACACGGTGCTTGCGAAAAACGCGATCAGAATATCAGCATATGACGCAAATTAAAATTTGAAAAAAAACAAAGAAAGGACGAAGTTTTTCCGCCGCTGCGGTAATCGAACCCACATCTTCCGGATACGCAACCACAAGAATTTTCATGTTTTGTGCAGAGACAGACTGTTCAAGATGCAACTCACATAATTGTAGTCACTTAGGTCATCAGATGTGATTATTACTTAGCTTGCGATTCGGATATATGAAATATCGTTATGTAGTGTTCATTTACCTAATTAGATGGCGTAATGTTCGTATTAGATCGCGCTACGGTTTGGTTAACGTGGTATCATATACGGACGGCGAGTTAAAAATAAAGATACGCTCAGATCAGAATACAGTTGTGGTTTTATTTAATCGACCCTTCTAGTAGTTCACAATTTTCGAGGAGTTCAAGAAAACACACGCACTGTTAAACACAGACACAGCACTATGAACAAAATAAAATACACTGTACGTTTGACAATAAGGTCGGGTAGAGGTTTTTGATATATTTAAATAACCGGCAAAATAGGGCAACCAAGATGAAACGACCCCGTGCACGCCCTTAATTAATGCCATTTATTTACTATTTTCATTTTAAGTTCCTTAACGCGTTTTCTCGGAGGTGTGAGTGGGTAGAACTCGTCACGTAAGGAAAAAGCGTTATGCTCCCTCGATTCTACTATCAGCGACCGTCTCTCTCCCTGTCCTGTCTCTTTCTTTCACAATCGCTAATCGAACAATCTGGGTAGTTTTTAAAAAGCATTTTTTTTTAATATCAATCAATTACATTTGACTACCATTCCTAGATTTATTTTCGTATTTTTGTTTACTTATTATTAAATAATGTGTACTTTTTAATTCTGCTTGTTGACTTATACATTATGTACAAAGGAACGAACCTCATTCCAAACGGGTGTCCCATGGCGCCTCTCGTTCTCGTATAAAGTTCTTTATTAAAAGAAAATGCAAATGTTTGAACGCGGTTTGCTGGAAATTCACGAGCCCATGCGGATTCCGAAGTTCGTAACAGCTTAATAGCATTAGCATATAGCATTAAGCAGCGTAACAGCTTAGGCCCAAACTAAACAAAAGTTACCGAGCCTAATTTTAAACTGAATATCGGAATTGTGCCATTGGACTTCTAACTACTATAAATATGAAACACAGCGTGATTTCGGCTGATGTTAAATTATTACCGCCGTCCTGCGACATCTACAATACCCGTTGCCAAACTCTAAAAAGTGGTCCCGCGTTACCTCACTACCGGGCGGAGCGCAAAATAACAAACGCTTCTACTTCGCACCGCTCTTATGTTAGGCCGTGGGACTTCCCCGGAAGAGAATGCAATATCGCTCGTTTCGAAATACGAAAGCTGTGCACGTATATTTTGCTATCTACGCAGGAATGGTTAAACTGATTTCAATGACAGTAGAAATGGAAATCGGTCATACAATAGATTTCTTTTTTTTTTCTTTAGACAAAAACATTGTCCGTACTCTAGGATAACATTAACCGGTGTTGTAAGGACGTTTTACACACATAAATTTCACGCGGACTAACACCCAGATCTGAAACGATTATCTGTCGGCCACACAAATAGCTGTCCCGTGTGGGAATCGAACCCACGACGCCCGCCGCCGAAACCAATACCTTGGCGATTGCGCCACGGAACCATCAAATGGTACTTAATATTCCGTAAAAACTACGCGTTTTGTTTGATCATTCTTTAAGTCAAGCTTACGTTGAAGGTCAAGGTCGTTGAAGGTCGTTCCTAAGCCCATCGTTAACGAGGTTTTATCGTGCACCCCAAAGCGACGGAAGGAATGAGTTATTCGTTGTCATGATATAATAGACACGAGCTATCAATTCTCCGACTTTTATTTATTCGGTGTTCCTCCAATATACGACTGAAAGTGCTTACTGTGCCTATCCATCTTTTATAAAAATAAAACGATAGATGTTGTGCGATATTCACCGAAAAACTACGGCATACAAATAGATTTCAATTCATTCTTATAAGTTTTATTTCTTAGACGCTCGGCCCTTAGCTAAAAAAATGTTACTAAAGGTTTTAAAACAACGGTTTTTATAAGCACATCGCGTTCAGTGACGTGTGTTTTCTTGACCCGTGATAGCTCAATATCCGGGAACTCGCTATTATTTCAAAATACTCGAGCAACCAGAGTTCAAATCCGGGTCCGGTACCATTGAAATTGTTAATTTTAAGTGCTGATTTATCACGTGCTCAGGGAGAAAGAAGGAAACGTCGTGAGGAAACTTCAGCGTATCTTCGATTTAAAAATTAAAAAAAAGAATCGGATATAAAGTCGATCTGCAGAGAGATCGTGTAGAGGACATAATATATTAGCTATTACTTTACTTTACATAGACTTTTATTAGACATTTTTTCCAATCTTTTTGACGAATCAGTTGCAAGATTTTTAATATAACAAAAAACATAGACATGGCCGTGGGCATCAGCTAGTATAAAAACTAAAAACGTATCATTAATTTAAAAATGATTTCTAAAATGAAAGGTGAATATTGTATTTTAATATTTAACTAGAAAGCCGGGCAGAAGCTTGTGATGTTCCACGAATGGAGTCGCTGATCCGGGGAAGTACCATTCGTATTTTCTTCGAATGAATATGATAACCGGGGCCGCCCCTCCTAAAGCCAATGAAACTGCAACTGAATGGGATAAATGTGTTCCTAGGCTGCGCAAATCACTTACCTATACAACCTAACCCAGGCTATTAAACTAACATCATTGACACCAGAGCAAACGACGTCACATGTTTCATCACAACAAAAATGACAAACACCACAACACATGAAACGACATCGTTGAACAAACGGGCCGTATCAATCCAAACGGTCACGCACACAGGGGCACACAACGCACACATGAGTCCAAACAAATACATACTCACCCGAATTCCAACTCGTCGGGCGTCAGCATAATGATGTCGTCGTCGATCGTCAGCTGGCACTCGGTCTCGATCTCGTCGTAGGGGTAAAATCTGTTCGACAGTTTGTTCTCCCTCGTGCGTATCACTTTCAGCGGCTTGTTTATGACTGGCCATTCAGACGCTGCCGGGGAAAAAGAGAAAACATTCATGACGTAAGAAAGCGCGGGAACATCGAGCAAATCGAAAACGGCAGGAAAATGACGCTTTGACAGTTTATCGTGTAAACGTTTAGAAACAGTTTATTATCTATCTTAACGGTAATATTAATAATTTAATATTATACATTAATATTACCGTTATTTTTAATTTTCGCCTAGAATCCAATATCATTTCTACGGTCCATTGTAAAAGACGATAGCGTACAGACGTTCAATAACTCAACGATATTATTCATATGCTCGAAAAGGCGCTAAAAAGCCAACAATGTAAGCAAAAAACATCGATGGAAAGTAAACTGTTGTAAATTATACGTGCACCCGTGAGTCAGCGCTGCATTTATGGAATGACGCAATGTGTATAGAGCAAAATAAGATTTATATCGTTGGTATTAAGGTTAACTTTGGTTGCGCAATAACGGGACAAAGTATTCCACTCTCGGAGTGCTCGTGTGGCGCATATTTAAACTTCTCATATAATCGTAAAGTAGCGTATTCGTTGCAACGATCTGATTCCAGAGTAAACCGGTTAAAACTAGGATGCGTATAAAGCAAGTTTGTTCTTGAATACATGAGGACAGCGAAATTTTCCGGCCAAAATGCGTTCCACCTGGGTCTATAATTATACATATCGCGTATCGACTCTAGCGAAATAACGAACCTACGAAGAGACAATCGTTCTCAATCACATACGATTATTAAAAGGTAACTCATGGGTGTGTTTACATACAACGCGACATCATACTAAATTAAGACAAAAATTTTGTCTTAATTTAGTATGAGACGAAAACTAAGTTAAGCTTGTGCAATGGGAGTAGTATACAAACAAAGTATATTCAGGTAACTGGTACTTGAACATACTTTTTTTTTGTAAATAAGTACATATTACAAATATACAGCGTGTCGTTACTATCGGGACAATAAATGAACACACGTCTAACCCTACTTGCCAATAATCATAAAAAAATATTAACGTTAAACAAAATCCATAATTAAATAAAAATCTTTTTCAAACAAACTAATTAAGTAAAAAAGAAAAAAAAATTTCAACATCATATACTACTCGCGCCACAGCGTCGCATTACAAGCCTCTCATTCTAACAGTATGTTTTGTCTCTTTTAAATTCATTCAACCCATTCATATGCTTTGTGACCCTTACCAATGAACTTTACGTTACAGTTTTATACGTAAGGGTGTTCTAAAATTCTTTATTTTTGAAAATTTAATAACTCTATAAATATTGATGTTTAAAGAATGTAAATGTTTAATACAATTTTAAAAAGTTATCCCCTATATATGTGTTCATTTATTGTCGCGATTGTAAAGACACGCTGTATAAACACCTAGTCATTGCAATTGCAATTGCAAAAGCATTGTGTTATGAACATAGGTTCATCACACAATATTTTTCCAATAGTGAGAATCGAACCCACACCCCGTGGCGCAAGAGACAGCTTCAATATCCACTACGCCAATCGGGATTAAATGCATCAGTATTTTAAAGACAATTATAGGGATATTTATCAGTCTGTAATAAATTCACACGAACGTACGTAAACCTACAAAATATAAAACCGCCGAGTGTTGCCATTACGTCACTCGTAAATCGCAATCATAATAAAAGGACCGTGTCGCTGAATCAGAGATTAAAAAAATAATTATAGTCTCTGTAATAGGAGGTAGATTCACAATCCAAAATGATCTCTATTACCAAGGCGGTAAAATTGTGATTTACACAAGAGGCAATTTCATTTCCAGTAATTCCTGCAGAGTCCCTAAAATTTATCACTTATGAGAGAATGGATACCCTAATTATGCTTGCCAGATAGTACAGCAGTGTTTTTGAAGTTCGAATTTTTTTCTTGCTCTTTAAACCCTGACGAGAGTTTTAATCCCGAGCGTTACTTGCACGAAACCTTATAGGTTAACAGGTGACACGACTCTCAGCATGCACAGCATAATATATCAGGCACAAATATTAAAAACCGGCCATGTGCAAGTTGGGTCCCGTACCATTATCTATAAAAATTGCAAAAAAAATCATGTCTATTGTATGGGAGCCCCACTTAGATACTATTTCAATCTGTAGTATTAGATAGTATTTTTTCTCATAGCGGCAACATCATCTGCGAAAATTTCAACTGTCTAAGTATCACTGTTCATGAGATACAGGCTGGTGACAGACGGAAAGACAGGCAGGCAGACAGACAGCGGAGTCTTAATAATTAGGTCCTGTTTTACCCTTTGGGTACGGACCCCTAAAAACTCAAACTCATTTCCACATTCATCTAAGATTGCAAAGGGCGATCTCAGGTAAATGTGGACAGCAGTAACATGTGAGTTTCCCTACTGGATCAAAGTAGTAATAGCTTATTATAATAACACAGCAATGCAAAGGAACATACACGACTTCAATTCAAAGTGTGACGCATCTAAAGACCAGTGTGAGTAAGGTAACAGAGAGGAACTTGTTGCTTTTTTAATAATAGGTCGCAAACGAGCGGACGGTACACCTGATGTTAAGTGATTACCACCGCCAATCGACATCCATGAGAACAACTGGTTGCAATTGTGTTGCCAACCTTGATGGGAGCAATGTGTAAATCATATCGTTCATCGAGTTGGCCGAATTTCCACGACCTTGGGAACAAACACCCAGATCCGGAATTATCTGTAGGTCACACTTGTTCCGTGCGGGAATCGAACCAACGTACCTCGGCGCAAATCCAATAGCTGAGCCTAAAAACAACTACACCGGTGTATATGATGTAACACGTATTATTCCGGAAGCTGTGGAATCGCCGACATGGCAATCAAAGCCGAGGTGTTCCTGGATCAAATCCAAGCGGGCGAGAGGTTCGCGCGAAAAGCGCTCTTATCGCTAAGTGATAGGAACCACAGAGTTCAACGTATCGCGTGTTAGATTTTACGAGCGCGTAGCCTCTATGACGGTAAAGTTTAAGGTCTATTAATCTCGACTACCGCAGGATAGCAAACCGCGATAGCTCAGTGTCCGGGTGACTTTTAATTCAATATACTCGAGCAACCTGAGTTCGATCCCTGTTGCCGGTACCAATGAAATTGTTAATTTTAAGTGCTGAATTATCACGTGCTCAGCGGTGAAGGAAAACATCGTGAGGAACCTGCATATTTTCGAAGTACTGAAAAAAAAATTCGAAGAAATGTGAAGTCCGCTAATCCGCAGTGGGGCCGCGAGGTGAACTATGCCCTGATACCCTCTGTACGGAGGAGGCCTATGTCCAGCAATGGGACGTGTATAACTTTACTTACTTTTACCGCAGGATAGAGACGACATACGAAGCATACGTCGGATTACTCCACACAGGGATCTAAGTACGATTCCGACTGTAACATTTAGTTATTGCGTATACGTTAGGGTACTATCGTTGCAACTGCATTCTAATGCATGTCCCACTGAGCTATATGTATTTTTATTATGGGCGATGGCTAAGTGGAAGATGATAAAAGAAATGATTAACTTTAACTCGGATCCTAATACAAGATGGTCAATGTTACTTTTATGCCCAACTGACATTTTTTTGTATTTATTGATCTATTAAAAAAGATGCACCAATGATATAAAATAAAGTATTTAAAAAATTCCTAATAGAGAAAGATTTTACATTTAAAGTCAGACAAATATTTTCAACGGAACTATTTACTTTCATAACACGAAGACTAAGTTGGAGACAAACAACTAATATAAAGTGAAAGAAATAACGAACATTAAAAAAACAAGAAATAGAGCACTGAACTAGGATGATATAAAAATAATCCATGTATAGCAAAAATATGCCTTTTAAAAAAGTTATATGTTATTGTGTATATCTTCCGTAGTGAGTTGCTAACTTCGTATTATGTACTAAATATTGTTGGGATTGGGGATAATATTTTCTCTCTTCATTTTGATAAATACGGCGAATGGCTCGTCACTTCTGTATCATACATTATATCCTGTACTGCAGCAGGCAGTAAACCGTGAGTACTGACTAGCTTTCTCTATCTGGCTCAGGTTAGGGTCTGGTTAGTGTTCAAACACGTGCAACTTGTTTCACCAACAAACGCTACTGCAGAAAGTGGCGCTATACCCTAAGCACTGCGAGTATAGTACACTTACGTCACGATGAAACTAATATATCTTATGAATATTGCCTCGATCGATCGGATCGTAGTAAACAAACATAAGATTCTGGAAATAACTTACTACTAAGTAATGCAAACATCGTTTCGGATTCGCAATAAATTATTTCTCATTACAGTTTCACAGGTCAACAATTCAATAACGAATAAGTATAAACAGATTTATAGTAGTACTATAGAGATATTATACTATTCAGAGCCCGAGTAACTTTCCCTTTTAATTCAGTATCATCGAGATCTGAATTAAAATCGCGATTTAGGCCCGTTATAACGTTAAACGTATCATTAAAATTTGTAGAAAAAAAGGACGAAAAGGACTTTTTCGCCACTGCAAAAATCGAACCTGTTTCGCTTTAACCAAAACAACGGCTGATTGCCACACCAACGAAAATGCCAACGTCTTTTATGTAGGTACATTAGTTTTTTTCCGAAAAAAAAGAAAAAACAATGGGCGAAAAACTTTTGGTCCCTTTTGATCAAATTTTAATGAAGAGATTAGCCCTATAAAACTTAAATTCAAAGAAAAAATCCGGACTAACCCATTAATTATTAAAGAGGCTTAAAACATTTCGAAGATAAGCGAAGTCTGCCAAACCTACGATAGTTCGCGTTGCGGTCTATGCTCTAATACGCCCTATATTGAGTAGGCCTTGACTCCACTATACAGCGTGTCGTTACCATCGCGACAATAAATGAACACACGTCTAACGCTACTTCCCAATAATCATAAAAAAATATTAACGTTAAACAAAATCCATAATTAAAAAAAATATTTTTCAAACCAACCTAATTAAGTAAAAAAGA